TGTCATGCAGACCTTTATCATTTAATCTGTGACAAACTGCAAAGAATGAAGATATTACCATGGATAATAAAGTACATGTTATTTTACAATCCATGGTATTACCTGCACACTTTCCTGCAACTTATTCAACATATAATAGTTAATTAAATACGCTTTCGGCCATTTAGTACTACTATAAATTGTAAATTTCGACATGCTAAAACGCTTTTTTCTGACTATCAGAATTCTGTTAAATCTTCCCCAAAGTCCAGGAAATGGCATTGCAGAGACTCTAACTGTTTAAAAATTTCCTCGGGCCTCGGCCCTCGCTTTCAGCCTCTCTCCCCCCCCAAATCGAAAAGAGTTTCCTACGGCCCTGTACCATACGTCCATGCAACTCTTAAATTTTATATTAATTGTATTTATAACAAGACTGTGACATTAATTAAACCGAACTTTCACCGGTTCACCGTTCACGAGTACTGTGCACACCTTAAAATAGTTGGCTTTTCTTATCAAACACAAATACTACAAAAGTCGGTCCCGGAAAATAGGACACCCCCCAAATTTTTTTTGAATGTGCGCCCCTGATTCAGTCCCAAAAAACACAAAAGACTAAAACAATTATTCGCCTCAAGCTCGGTGATTATCGGGGAATATTCACCTCGACTTCGTCTCGGCGAATATTCCCCGATAATCAGCTCGCCTTCGGCGAATAATTGTTAAATATTGAGCTATATATATATATAAATTAAGCAAATTATATGCCAAGGATTAATTAATTTAAACATAACTCGCAAATAATTCTGGACTACCAGTATGCAAAAAATGTGTAAAAATACATTGTTTCGATGTGGCTGATGAAATGTGGCAATTACAAGCTCAGTGTATACATTGTATGAATTACAAGATCAATGCATGCATATATATGAACCAAAACAAACCAGACAAGAACCATGAAGAACCTGACATTTCAAGCTTGACCTTTAGGTTACGAAATGAGTTCACTTCTCCACCAATCGCATTACAGAATTATACAGTTTTGTTTCAGTCTTGAAAAGGTTTCATGAATGGACCAATCAAATTAAAATATCAAGAACTGATTTCCGCTTTTAGTCAACCACATGCGCTGTTTTTAATAAGGCTGTCAACAGCCTTTCACATATCAATATGGTATCCTGCCACATGTCACGCAGCGCTCGGATTATCACTTTGATAGAATTTTATATCAAAGTTTAAAATCGCGCAATGGACAATACAAAATATGCTATTTCATACGAGCATTTGATTCGATAAGATATTATCAAAGACAAGGGGGTGATTTAGCCTTTTCACAGTCCCAATACCAGTATACTATTTCTTATGACGCAAAGCCAAGGTGATTCAATCTCAACTTTTAATAGTAGAGTTTCAGGTGTTGAGGTGTAACTACACTATATCGAGCAATGTATTTCAAAATATAGCTATAATAATCGCTATGACCATTTATGCCGAATGAATATCGTGAAATGTATATATCGTTCAAGGAATAAATTTAATCTTTAATCGACTTAAATTTCATCAAAAGGCCCGCGGGCAACGTGTATACGAATTTCATAAATCTGTCATGCTGTATTTTCGTATTTCATAACAAACTTACTGTTTCTGCAACAAAGGAGAAGCTTCCTATAATAAGCCTACTGACTAATAACGCGCGCGTTTTGGCGCGATAATGAAAAAATGCGCGAAGTTCGTGTAACCTAGTGCGCGTAACAACTACAAGTTATAGCAGAAATAGCAGAAATAGTAAGCAGTCATGTGGACAAACAGTCACGTCGATCGAAACGGCCAAAACGAGATACAGTAGATATCTCGACCAGGCAATCAAATAGTACATAAAATATATTATATATAGTGGGACACATATGGCGATGGATGTTATAAACACAACGTTCAGTGTATTGTCGAACAATATAAATCCCATGGCAATAAAATTTGAATTTGATGTAGAAATTATTTTAAGTATTATCCAAATGAATTTGCATCTGATCTGTGCACGGTAACAGGTAGACTACAATGACGGGAAATCCAGCATATCAATTATTTTAATAGTCAAATCAACACGGAACTGAATTCTGTTCATGTAATTTGACCAATCAGAATCTAATATTGAATTTTAATAAAACGCGAAAGCAATATTTAATAACCTGTTATATTAGTCTTGAAAAGGTTTCGTCCACGAACCAATCAAGTATTTTATAACGAGAACTGATTTGCGTGTTTAACCAATCACGTCCGAATTGTTTAATTGGATAGAGATTGTTGTTTCATATTTTAGTATTGCAGTCATTAATTAATGCGGACGCAACACATGGCCATGCATCATCAGGGTATCATGTTTCCCTGCTGGCAACAGGATAGTAAACGCAGCACTGCATTCTGACAAACTAGCACTGCATTTCACAAACTAAGTATCAGGATTTAAATTATACATCGATTCAGCAATGTTCTCTCATTTTCAAGCTTCGACAGCGACAAACCGTCGGCTTGTCCATAGCCCTGATTGCAACAGATCGTCCGAACAAAAATGTGCCTTTCCGCAGAGCGACCAGAGCGGGATGACCATTCAGGTATTAAATCATTTATATTTTTGTACAATTCGTTTAGAAACAATGGTTTTTTCTTTTAAATCTGATACATTTTATTTCCATTCCAGAAATTAAATAAGGAAAACAATGTCAAAGCACCGACGTTAAGGCAATCCCATGTAACCATTCTATATTCTGTCCTAACGATGTAGTGCTGTATACATATGTGTATCAGTATATATGTATTGACTATATTATTCCTTTACGTTCAATATCCTTATCTAATATAACTTTCAAAATTCAGTATATGGACTTCGCTACGAAAATGTACAGTTCACTAACATTTGTGATTTATGATATAGGTCCCTATCTTCCCTAAGTTTGCCATGCAAGAAAAGTGGTCTTTGCCTCTGTACAGAAACGAGTTTCATAGTGATCATATCACATGCTTGATGCTTCTAGTATAATATTTATTCCAATAAGCGCCCCAATAATAATTGACTTTTTATAACTTAACGGGTAAACTGATCTGTATTTGATAAATGATCCCATATTCTCTTCAAATATGTATTACATTCCGTTAAGGATGAAATATTTGAGAATAATAATTGCATGCTAATAAAATACCAAAATGCGCGTCGTGTAAAGTGAATGCAACAATCACTAAAAACATGAAATATTGCATTTCAACCAATAAAAATGCACCTCAGTCCACTGGATCGAGTGATTTATTTATACAATGATAACGTAGTTATAAGACGATTCAGTATAGTATAAAAATAAAACGAGATAGGATGACTAGAAACTTGACTAGGTATATTGTATGTTTACACTTTTAACTAGTTCTCGATCACAACATTTTGGCAAGCGTTCACAATGAAAGGGTAGACTAATTTCAACAAGCCTTGTCATATCATATCATATCATATCATATCATATCATAATAAACATAATTGATATTTCAGAATGTAAAAAATGGGCGCAGACTTCAAAACTCAGTATCTTACAAGTCGATAGCAAAAGCACAGGACAAACATTGTTGTCGCACAAAACGTCTCCAGGGTGGCAAAATTGGCCTTTTCAAAAGTGACATCATGTCTTGTAGAGAAGCATTCTGGAAATTGGATGAAAATAAGCAGGGAAACTATATTTTGACTTTTTTTACTCACGAATGCCATCAAGCCCTCTGGACATCAAAATTTGATCTTTCTTGGAATGCTTGGATTGAAAGTCATGGAATGGTAGGTGGAGGTAAAATAACATATAGTTAGTTATTTGTGCAAGCACAACTATAATACGATTGTTATAATTGACCGATTAGCCTACCCTCAGTGGTGTAACTTTGTGCTAAGGGTGTGCATAAAGGCTTCTATAGCCTATGACCTACCACTACAGACAGAAAGAAGCAAGGAGGGATCGAGGGGGTAGTCACAAAATTACATCCTACAGTATTAAAATATTATTGTATCTAAGTGGAAATTAGCCTGTATAGCAGGCGTTTAGTGCGGGCGAGAGAAGAAAGGGCGTCGTTAAATAAACGCCTGCCCAAATGCCTATGATTAATTTGTTCTTCTCCGAAGAATCTTCGGAAAAGCTTCCCATTGGTTAATCTCGTTAACGGAAGTAATTACGTAACTCAAATGTCAACAACAATTCTGCTCGCGTATCGAATAGCAATAGCCGTATATTTCGAATAAAAAATATGCCTGTTAATGCTTTGGAGGAAACGCTTTCTTATATTTCAAGTGTTTAGGCTTCGAAATTCAGTTGAAACCAGAACAGAGAAAGTCTATTATTAATTTGCTACGTGGTGAAGACGCCGGTTATCGCGATTCTTCCTACGGGATACGGAAAAGTTAGCCTGCGAACAGGCTCTCAAGCTGAATTGAGGGCCTGCATCGATGACTAAAGAATTTGAATATCTGCGTCTCAAATCGTGACGCGAAATTCTCATTGGTCAGACGCTATAATTTATATGTTTCCGCTGAGCTCTATATATGTCAACTGCTGAAGCACTATGCATAAAAAACACATTAACTGATCAAATTGGTCTTGGCCATCTTATCTCACAGCACGAAATGTTCTGTTTTGAGAAAACGGTATTTAAAACATTTAAACTTTTGCTTGAATATCTTATATTTCGAAAAACAGTATAAACTGTACGGTCTAAATTAAGTTTGCACGGTCTAAATTTAGTTTGCACGGAAGTTGTAAACAACAGCATATAAGGATGGACATTCCATATTTGGAAAAACGAACGTTACGGGGCAGATATTCAAATTCATTAGTCATCGATGCAGGCTCTCAATTCAGCTTGAGAGCCTGTTCGCAGGCTACGGAGAAGTTTGACTTTCAATTATACATTTATATTGGCAAATTATTTAATTAAGCTTGCTACATGCTATTTTAATAGCTCTGATCATCTGATGCCAGCACGAGCAGAGATCGAATATTTCTTATAGTTGTCTTGATATTTGTTGATGCTACATTACTTGGCATTGCAGCTATGAATTTGGACGATGATTTTATAAAGAATATTAACATTTCTTTTGACACGCTCAACTGTTAGTGGTTCAGAAGCCTTTTAAAGGATAAAAGCTCTGTGTTGTGACTGTTGTCTAAAATAGCTTCAAAAAGTCATCAATAATTCATGAGGAAAACGCAAAGAAAAATCATAAACGTGTCGTATCTTTATATGCGATAGAGATTTCCTTGGACATACACAACGTATTTTTTGAAAGTTACTTCTCCAATGAACTTACTAGATTAAGACATTCGCAGTGCGTGTTTTATCAGACCATCTTTATTTCGGATAAAACACTGCCGCTCATGTTTTAAATAGTACATAAAATCTCTGCAAATCTCCCTAGTTGCCGAGCCGAGCAAACGGCATGCATGATGCTAAATATAAATCTCGACTATGATTGGATAATGGGTGACGGTGCTAATTAAAAAACGTCAATCATCCTTAATGGGCGAAAACTAATTTGTCATAGCCATTTGGGCAGGCATTTCCTCAAACGACGCCCTTTACTAAACGCCTGCTACGCAGGCTAGGTGCATGGAAATGTGTTAAGTGAATAAATAACTTATTATTATGTATTTAATTTGGTTTCCTAGATTTTTTACTTTGAAAAATGACTTCGAAAATGGGCGAAACACATCAGATACAGCGAAACGATTGTTTCGAATCAGGTCTATAACCATTCAATGAATGCCGAGCTATGGTTTGAGAATTATAGGGATACGTTAGCAGACAAAATGCCTGATAGCTGGTACTATACACCTTCATTCATGCCAAACAAAAAAGACCGCGTATATACAACTTACGTGGAGGAAACAAATAAAAACGGCATATATAAACAACTATCCAACACTCAATTTTGCGAATGTGGAGGGAGAAATTTAAGAGAGTGGTTATTCCGAAGGTAAGATCATCATCATATACATTTAATATAAAATAACATGTATATATAACGCGTGCTCTGATTGGTCGAAACCTGTGTTTGGATCAGGCCATCCAAACACGGAAATTTAAAGTGAAAGTTTTTTAAAGTGAAATTTTAACACGGAAACTCGCGCGCATTTCTTAACTCTCGCAACATTCCCGCGTGTTTGGATCAGGCCATCCAAACACGGAAACCATAAAGTAATTGTATAGTATACAAGTAATGAATGTTTATGAGTGCAATGCATGGTAAGAATATTTTCATGAGGTGAAAGATGGAATGTTCCATTCAACGAGGCGACAGCCGAGTTGAATGGAACATTCCATCTTTCACCTCATGAAAATATTCTTACCATTGCACGAAAAAACATTCACTATTTGTTTTATATGATACCAAAATAGACTAATAGATTCGTATGAGAAGCATTTTGAGGGATGCGATTTATCGAAAACACAAAGAGTGCAATAATGTACTATATACGTTCTATTCCATTGCACTCGCAGTGAGTACAATGGAACGTATTCCATTGCACTCTTGGGAAATGGAATTTTCTATTCAATATCACGTGACCATAAACAGCCAATTAAACGATCAGAATTCAATAAGGTATTATATAATACATATGCACCTTCGTTGTCTTTACGGAAAGCTTATTATAAATGTTTGTATCATTTGTACATGTAGGTATCAATAAGTCAATTGCAAATTTCTCGTCGTCTTTTCATACTAGATAAAGTTGCATGCACACTCAGATGCATATACACAAGGCAATTAACTTAATCAGAATATGTAAAACCTATACTACAAGATTCGATCCCCATCATTATTGGCAGGTTATGAGTTTTCGTATTTTTTTAAATATCAGACAAAGTGTCGAGCGTGCGTTTTCCTTAAAGAACACTTGCAGAGCACATCAGGAAAACCTGAGCGTGCTCCTTGGCTGGAAAAGAAGCGTCTTCATATAGAATAACAAAGGTACTTGACTTAGGGTCTAGCTATTTTGCGGGCTGCGGGTCAGGAAATGTGGGTTGCGGGTTAAAACAATTGCGGGCCGTGGGCCAAATTGCTGTCCTGACTAATTTTGTAATGAAATTATCGACACAATTCAATGAATATAGAAATTCGCAGTTTAGGCATGAAGGTTGGCACCACTTATTCACCGAGGATAATTTTCTATCCAAAATAAAATTGCAAGATGAAGTACCGAACAGCCATCCTTTGTGTTTCAGAGAAGAAACTCAAGCTGCCATTGGACAGTATTTTCTTACAGTATGTTATCACATATTTGGTAAGCCTAATGTCGTGGCGCCAATCTGGAAGTTGCGTTAATTCGATTATAAGTGAACTTAAAAAACAGCACTTAATATTAATTGTGACTAGAAACAGTTCTAAATATTAAACATTTGGTAACAACAGCAAGAACTAGAGTATATATGAACTAACGCGAACAAACTGTGTTGTTTATTGCACTTTGCCCAATAACCACGTGTCCATTTTGCCTTTTATTACAGTAGATCGATGCACATAAAAGTTATATCTCCCTATTTCGTTCACAAATATGTTTCTATTTGACCTTGACCCCGTTCACAAACTTATTCTTACCATTATTGTGCACAAGAAAGTAGGAAATAACCGTATCAAATTGTGGCCGTTCATGCAATAAACAGCACAGTCATATTTCAATGGTTTTTGGCCTACTTTGAATCTGGGTTCCTGTAGTGTACTTCATGTAATACCATCCAAATAAAGAAAACAGTTAAATCTTCGGAATATTTCCGACCCCTGGATAGAGGAACGTGATTGTGACTGTAGTCGAGATTTTCCTGTATGTGTTGATTGTTTCTGTCTATGTATATACTTGCAGTAAGAATGCCGACTCGCTGCTTGTTACCAAGTTTTTATTTATTTATATAGTGATTTTACGTTACGATTAAAAATGGCATTTTGGTTTCCTTGTTATTTCAAACTTATTTCACACAAAAATATATTTGGCAGCCTTTTGATGACGTCACACAAGACTGAAAGAATTCGGAACCATATGCAAAAATGTCCAACTCACTTTTTATACGGACTTCATGCGACATGATTTCAGGGCTTTGCGTGGGTCCAGTGTTTCGAGAAAATTTTATCAGGATTGGTGTACAGTTATCCCGGTGGAAACAGGCTTTAATGTCTGGTACGACTCATAAACTGAGATTCCATGATATTACAAAAAGACTGAATAATATTGTTATTTTCTTTACATTTTGACAATATTTTTTTAAAAATTCGTCAGGCCCGCAACTAGACCCGCGGCTCGCAATCGTGTTAGCCCGCATTTTTCTGCCCGCAGCCTGCATTTTCTGCCCGCATCCCGCATTTTTCTGCCCGCAACCAGCAAAATAGTTAAACTCCTTGACTTCAACAATGCATATTATGTAAAAAGAGTGCAATGGTTTTAAACGATATTCAGTTCAATTTACAATACTTGAGCAAAACTAGAATGTGTCTACTGAATTTTTTTTTTAAATTTATTTTATTTTATTTTTTTGTAACATAGATAGATAGATAAACTTTATTTAACCACGCTAACCCCGTCAACCGAAGCTGATTTCCACAGGGGGCGTGTATAAAAGACATTACAGAAGTATAAACTTTAGAAAATTATTTACAGAGTATTAGTATTAGGCATGCAGGTATTAAAGTAAGTAATGGGAATATAACAATCTATTTACATTGTACATGACAACATTTGTTGTCTAATTAAAAATGTGAGCGGCAATTTTCTTTTGGAAGCATGATAGGGATTTGCTCTCTCTAATTTCATTTGGAATAGAGTTCCAGAGCTTAGCACCATCATACATAAAACTCTTCTTCATATTATTGGTACGTGGTTGTGGTAGACAAAGACCACTTGAAATGTTTCGAAGTTGATAATTTGTTATATCACTCTTATACGTGAAGAGGTTTGTGAGAGACTCAGGGCCTATTTTGTTTAATGTTTTGTACATCATTCTTGCTTTTGCCTTTTTTCTTATTCTATCAAGTGGCTCCCAGCCTAAGGCATTTAAAGCAATAGAATGATCTACATCATTGCTGAAATTTGAAATAATTCGAGCAGCTCTGTTTTGTAGTTTTTGCAGTCGTTTAGATTGTGTTTCGCCAAATACATCCCAAACTTCAGAGCAATAATCAAAGTAGGGACGTACAATAGCATTGTATATAGAAATAAGCGTATTTCTATCGGCAATAAATGGTTTGACACGACGTAGAGCTGAAATTCCCGATGTTATTTTTTTACAAATATTTTCAGTATTAGTCTTCCAAGTTAAGTGCTGGTCAATTGTTGTTCCTAAAGTTTTGGTTTTATTAACTTGTCTGATTTGTTTGTTTTCAATTATAATATTTGGTTGAAAATTTGAAACATTTCTTATCATTTGTGGAGAGCCAATTAGCATAAATTCTGTTTTTGCTACATTCAAGCTAAGTTTATTGGCAATTAACCAGTTTCTTAGGTTGTCTAGATCAGAGTTTACTGCAAGCTCAACATCAGCTGTGGAGTTACCAGAGGCTGTAAGATTTGTGTCATCAGCGAATAGTCGAGGTCTTGTGTTATTAAGACACTCGGGTAAGTCGTTGGTGTACAACAGGAACAGCAATGGTCCTAAAATTGAGCCTGGGGTACACCACATCTGATTAATTGTTCTGATGAAACAAATCTATTTATTTGGCACTTCTGGTGTCGATTTGAAAGGTATGATTTTAGTAAGCTAAGAGCTTGTCCCTTCACTCCATAGCATTCCAACTTTTTAAGCAGAATGTTATGGTCAACAGTATCAAATGCTTTTTTTAGGTCTATGAAAACCACCAAGTTAAACATTTTTTTTATCTATATTTACATACCACTCATTGGTACAGTCTAAAAGTGCTGTTGCTGTAGAGTGAGAATTTCGAAAGCCAAATTGGGTGCTACTTAGTAATTCAAATTCAGTTAAATAGTTGTCGAGTTGATTATATAAGATTCGTTCCATTACTTTACTTATGGCTGGTAGAACCGAAATGGGCCTATAGTTTCCAGGTATATTTCGCTGACCACCTTTGTAAAGAGGTACAACTCTAGCCATTTTCCATTCATCGGGAAAAGAGGATAAAGCAATAGCCTGGTTAAAAATATATGTCAATGAATCTGCTATGGCTGGTGTAGCCATCTTAATAATTTTACATGATATCTTATCAATGCCGGTGGCTTTGTTGCTAGATAATCCACCCAACAACTGACAAATATTATTTACAGTCGTGGGTTGGAATGCAGTAAACTCTGAGGTAGCTTTTTTTACATACGTCTCAAAATTACAATTTGAAGTATCAATTTGACTTGCCAGATTATGTCCGATATTTGAGAAATAGTTATTAAACCCCTCTGAAATGTCTTTTGGATTGTTTAAAATATTTTCTTCTAATATGAGTTCATTTACTTCTGGATGTGTGGCTTGTTTGCCTAACAAGTTATTAATTGACTCCCATGCTTTTTTTGGATTAAATTTTTGACCAGCAATTTTTGTGGAATAATAATCTTTTTTTGCATTTCTTAGTGCAATATTGACTTGATTTCTAGTTCTTTTATAGTTTAGCCAATCAGTCTCTAACTTGGTAATAATTGCCTTTCTTTTGAGGTTGTCTCTTGTATTTATGAGACCCTTTATTTTGTTTGTTATCCAGGGCACTTTACTGGACCTAATTCTTTTGTGTTGCAATGGTGCATGTTTGTTCAGTACTTCAAGGAAAAGTTCTTTCCAAATTTCCCACATCGAATTTGGTTCTTCACCAAAGAAATATATATATTCCCAATGTTGATTGAGAAGCTCATCTACAAATTTTGTCTCATTAAAATTTTTCATATTTCTAATTTCAACAAAATCTTCAACCTTTTGGAAAACTCTTATTTTTCTGATTGCGTAAACTAAACTGTGGTCACTGATTCCAGTGTGAACAACACCAGAATGTGAAATTTTTTCAGGTGTGTTTGTTACTATATGATCAATAAGGCTGGTTGTTGTGATTGTAATCCGAGTCGGTTCATTGATCAATTGGGTTAATTGATATAATTCGTATAACGAGTCTAGTTTTTTTGTTGGAATATTAAAAAGTAATTTCTCTTGTAACAAATTACAATTTAGGTCACCTAAGATATACATTTCTTTATTTTCATCATCAATTTGTTTAATTAGAAAAATCAATTAGAAAAGCTCTTTGACTGGTAGCCATTCTGATGTTACTAGTTTATTAATAGTATATTTTGTGTTCAATATATAGACCACAGTAAGACTTTATTAATAGTAGGAGAGTTTAGTTTATTAATATTTGACTTAAAATCTTTGACTTAGTTAATGAATATGTGGTTGTTTTCTTTTGGAGCTCAGGCTACTGGCAATTACTTGTTATGTATAGTTCTGTGTTTTTGGTAACAGAACAGTATATTTCCTTAATGCACTTGCTGCCATATGATTTTAGAAGTTTTACAATGATACACTTATAAGCATATAGTGCCAATATGACGACGATTCTTAATCCACAGGCAAACATGTTAAATTGCTGCTGAGTTTTAAAGTATTATCATCAATATATCTTTGTGCATTTGTAGTTGTTCTTACAGTGCCTGTGGATAAGAATCAAATGTTCGTTTGAGTTTATCAATTTAATCTAAATATGTTTTATAATTTGATTAATTAGGATTTAGGTTAATAGGTGTGTGGGGGGGGGGACCAAATCGCATTTTATGTACGGAAAATTCTAAAAATCCAGTGGCGGACTATCAACATAAAAATTATTTAGCGCCCACTCCCCCCTGTCTGGAGTCGACCACGCCCAGTCGAGACCACGCCCAGCGCCGATAACGCCCCGTCCACCAAAAAATTTTGACTGAGGTACGAAAAATCCTAGATCCGCACCTGATTACTGCATGGTATTAACCAGCCTGCCATCCAGCTGATTAAAATTTTAAACAGCCATCTAAAAATTTGGATTGTCACTTGTGTCAAGAAACATGCCTTTACGCCACCAAAAGAGATACACCTCCATGTGTAAATAAAATAATACAGGGATCAATCCAGCATGATCTCTGGCATGATCTGGTAGGGGGCTGCTCTGCAAGCTCTGCAGTGGTGCCGCCAGCTCGATAATTGGGAGGGGGGGGGGAATATTCATATATTTGTGTTCACAGAGCATAAAAACAATCAATTTCAAAAGAAGTTAATAATGCAGAACACGAAGATATGAATATTCGCCCCCCCCCCAATTATTGAGCTGGCGGCGCCACTGAAGCTCTGGTGCAGAGTTGTGTCGGTCATGTGTGCCACTCGCCCATCAACATACTACATTTGAATTGTTGTTCACAGTTTGCTTATCATCATGTTATTGCTCAAATTACTGCATCTCATTTTGTCTCTATTATTTTTTGTTTTATCATGAAAAAAGCACCCCCTTCACCCTCTCCCGTCAGGGCTTGGAGGGTGCACCCCCCTCTAGTAAATCATAAGTAATGCAATTTCTGATAAAAGGCGATGTGATTTAAAAATAAGTCACAGGGAAATTGTGAGCATAGACAACAGTTTACACTACTTTTATTTTTTTATCCCATTTTCATCCATTAAAAACATGTTATATTGTAAAGAAGGTGCCAGCAGAACAGAATGCTGGCCATGTTCAATTATGTCACTATTTTATCTGGCAGGTTATGACATGCTTGATCAATGTTGTCATTGACAATGGTTGCTTGTCCATGTGTTGTAGCCTTGAAGCTGCTAATTGTACAATGTAAACCTTGCTGTTCACACTTTCTAGGATGCAGCAACTTAGTCTCCATCTCAGACATGCAAAATAGCACCTAGTTTCTTACATAGAAATCCTGACAATTCAACATCTTCATTTGGATTAAAAAAAATTAAAAAATTATTATTATAATCATCTACCATGTTATTGTTTAACTGCTGGATTGTACAATGCAATTCACACCATGCAGGTACTGGACACTAGTGCACACATGAAACAAGACATAGTATAGTAAGCAGGGGCGTCGCTAAGGCATCAACATTGGGGGGGGTCGTCATGTTTTGATCAATATTTAATAAAATTTTGACCAAGTCGTAAATCCGGAAATGTTGTCGACAGGGGGGTAAAAAAAATTTCCAGACTAATATAAGCATATTTATAAATTTTTCGACCAAAATAAGCAAGGCTTACCAATATTTAACCACAATTTACCAACTTTGACCTTAAATTTTAAGCAAATATCAGTTCCATTTTGACAAACTTTGAGCAAATACCAGTTCCATTTTGACCAACTTTGACCAACGTTTCAATAATTGGGGGGTTACACCCCCCCCACACACACACACACACCCCGGTAGCAACGTCCCTGATAGTGAATATAGTAAGTGAACCCAGCTAATTTTAGATTTCAGACAGTGGCGTTGCTTCACTGATTGGCATACTCGGCCAATCTGACAACCAAACACCAGACCAAGGCTTTTTCACTCAAATCAATCTGGCTCTTGCCATGGTTTCAATTAATAATGGGTCCACAATTATCAAGCTGAAATATATTTTATCTTGTTACATTTCTACACATCATATGTAGGGTAATTTTGTCCTGCTTCTAACAACCATGAACAGACAGATTGAACTAACTGTACATGATAATTGTACTATTTTAAATAATTATGCCAGCCAGACATTAACAATTATTTAAAACACAAAACAACTATAATTGATCCAAAAAAATATTATATGAAATTAAATGCATTTCATTGTGATGTTAACACAAAGTCTATCTTTATAGTGCTTAAAAGATTACAACAAGATTTCTATCTACAGCTTATACAAAAATATACGTCAACCTTGATGTTTTCCATTTTAATACAGATATACAAAAATATATGTCAACTGACAACATGTAAATTATTTGATGACAATTTTAATTTCCGGGTTAAGATTCTTTCAATTGTCCACAAAAGCTGTATTCTTAATCGTTTAGCCGCCTTTAGCGAGCGTATTAATATAAATTCACTAATTTTCATAATTCTTCACTCCATGCAATCCGCCATCTTGGATGACAAATCCTCCCCCACGTGCATACCCTAGAGACGAAATCGCTGCGCAAGCAAGATGCGCAGAACGGCTCAACCATGTCGGGTTTTGGCAGGCATCTCACCGACTTTCTGAAGTACGTGAACTACGAGATGCCTGCGGAGGAGGCTAGA